TGAAGGCAAATTTTTACACTTGAAATATTTCATTTAATTTTTTAACTTTAATTAAAAGGTTAAATTAGTCTCTAATTCTATTTGATAGATGTCTCTTACTTGAGCTTTTTAATCTCCTGTCTGTCTGCGACAGCAAAGTAGAGAGCAATAGTTACGCCTTAAACAGCAGTAAAATGCTTCCAATGTTACAAGTTATCTTAAAATATACTTTCAGAGCCATAAAGCCTTCAAGGTGAGCATATACATACAGCACATATCTTCCATTGTTGTTGCTGTTTTTAGTCAGTGCAATGAACGTTACATAAATAAAATAAAAATAATGATATTATTGACAAAATGCTTGCAGAAGTGTTTGTTAAACCAATTGTTGCTCATCTGAATGTTGTTTTAATGCTAAAATACCCTAAATAACTTGTTTTTGGGATCATGGTCTTTAAAAATGTCTATTTTTGCTTTTCAGTTTTATTGTTGTTGGTCTTTGTTCTGCTCTTGTGCCACACCTGCTTCTAACTGTTACACCTGTTCTGCATTTAATCGTTAGTTCCCTCAGAGAATACTTGCTGAGGGTTTGCTGGATCCGCTTTGTTGAGTTTCTCCAAATGGTGGTTTCCCAAACATTCACTGTTTCTTGCAAATGTTTATTATTATAATTAAAAAAAATATATATTTTTTTATTATTATTATCTGTTCATTTTTCCATTACATTTTTAAGCTTTATAGTCTGATTTGGTAATTACGTTTTCATTTCAATATACATTTCCAGCTTTTCCCCGGCATATAGGATTTGCCAACTCCTCCTTCAGGACCACCCCTACTCCATTTCTCTTTCTATCCACACCATGGTAAAACAGTTTGAACCCTGCTTCAATGCTACGAACCTTGCTGCCCTTCCACTTGGTCTCTTGGACACGTAAAACATCTACCTTCCTTCTCTGCATCATGTCAGCCAGCTCTCTACCTTTGCCTGTCATTGTCCCCACATTTAGAGTTGCAACCCTCAGCCCTACATTCTTGACTTTCCTCTTCTCCCTCTGTCTCCTGACACGTTTCTCTCCTCGTGGTCGTCAACTAGCAGTAGCACAATTTCCGTCGGCACCCTGTTTGTCAACAGCACCAATGGCGGACGTTGTTAACCCGGGTCTCGACCGGTCCGGTACGGTGTCACTTAGATGAACTCGCATATTATTTTTGGCAAAAGTGTTTTACATCAGATGCCCTTTCTGACACAACCCTCACCATTTATCTGGGCTTGGAACCGGCATAAGAGATACAATGGCGTGCGCCCCCTATTGACTGGTTTTAAAAACAAATAAAACAATTTAAAAATATAGATTAAAAAAATATTTAAAATACAACATCACTAAGGAGAAAAATATATGTTTTAAGGGAAGATTTAATAACTGGAAGTGCGTTGGCTTGTTCCACAGTTTAAGGGCACTAACTGAAAATGTTCGGTCACCTCTCAATGGTAAAATACATTAACTATCATAATTGAAAGAGTTCAAATGACTTTTAAAATATTTATTCACAAACTATTTGCAGTTTATTAACTTTACACAAACTAAAACAGTAATTAGTATTAGAGTTAATTATGTCTCCTAAATGTGAAAAAGACAATGTCACTGTGTTTGACTTTGGACAGATCTGAGCAACAGCTCGACTACCACTGTTTCACAAGCAAACAGCAGCTGTGTCATGCATCGTGCAAATGCAGCAGAAAGCACTCCACCCCGCTATTTCAGTTGATCTCATGCAGAGTAGACAGAACAGTGTGAGAGTGCATCCTTTTTCCCTCCATGTCTCTCTCTCCAGGGAGCAGAATGTGCTGATGCCAAACAACGGGAGACGAGAAGATAGAAAATTACAAATTAAAACGAGAAATCAAAATGAGAATACAGTGGCAATTTCTGTGGTGGGAGTGTTTTTTTTGCATCAAAAATATTTACTCCCTCTGGAACCTTACAAGTGGCACCACCGCATCAGTCCAAAAATGTCAAAAAAAAAGTGGGAAAAAAAACAAGTAAGTTGCTTCGCCAATCTTCGTTGCTCGAAATTATAGCAAAGGTGTATCTCTGTTGAACTTTTCCTTAACAAATGCGCTTTAATGTTTAAATCAGCTTCATTTCGTTTGGGCGGCGTGGCGAAATGCAGCTGATTTGACGTTTGCTCCCAGAGTTCCGGAGCGAAATGAAGGTAGCTTACTATGCCAAGCCAAGTGTCTCATTAATAGCCACTTTTACCTATTAATGAGACACTTAGCTTGCCATATTACCCGAGGGCCCCCTAGTGGCTGTAAATGGTAGTGTTCAATATTTTCCATGTCAGAATAAATGAAATTGTCAGATCTCAGTCAAAAATTGAGTTATAAATATGGGGAAAAAAACATATATTAGTCGCTTCAATGTATAAGTTGCAAGACTTGCAAATTTATGCAAAATGTGCAACTTATAGTCTGGAAAATACGGTATATCTAGTTTAATCTTCATTCAACAGTCTTGAGTCCATACGATTTGCAAAAATGTTTTTACATACTGCCCTTGAAATTAATAGTAGTTACCAAAGTGCTTTAAAGTCCCAAGATTAAAACAATTCAAGACATCCATTCCTTCTTCAAAATTTGATGTTGATGGATTTGATTATTTTTCATGTTGCTCCATCCAACAAGGATTAAAAATATAATTAATTGTTAATTTAATCAATACTGTGGTAAAAACATACTTGTGTACTTTGATTAATTTATTATTGAGTGTGTGAGGGCTTTTCCCACTCACTAACTGTATTTACAGTATGTACTTTCTATGCTCTAAAATAAACTTAATTCATAAATGTACTTTTTGTTTGTATTTGGGAAAAGGTTTAAACCTGGTTATCAATTTATTAATTTAACTTTAAGATTGTGTTGCTCTGATACCTCTCTACTTCTCTTTGAGGTCAATGGGTCATGTGTTGCCATGGAAGCACGCCCATGAGCAGTGCTGACAAGGAACTGGTGTTTTCAATGAGCCTTATTGGGAAAATCCACACTGATTGAGAAGGAGGGGAGATGTTAAATAAAGGTTGAATGGCTGTTGTGGATTCTGGTTGGGTTTAGATTGTTGTTTAGCTTTCAGTTAAAACTGAATGTGAATATGTAATTATTATTTTTTTCTAGACATTAATTTAGTTAAGTATGTGTGTTTATTTTCATATAGAAAATGTAAATGTTGGCTCCACCCCTCTTAATTAGAAATGGTACAGGCTAATGTTTTAAAAGCTGGGTGGTTTAAAATGGGGTCTCTTTCTTGGGTGTGGTTAAAGAGCGTGTAAACCATGTCCTTCTTCTGTGAAAATGTAAGAACAATGTTTTTGAAAAAGTATTTATAAAAGAAACCAGAGCTCTGCAACTTTTGGATCATATCTGATTTTTTTTTTTCTTTTTGGTGTTTTTCTTGCTGCCCTGGCCATTTTTAAGCCCAGAAGGTTTTGACTCTGCTCTTAAGACTTGGAGTGACCAAATGTTTTTATGTGATAATCATTTTACACACAGATTTCCTGAGGATCTTTAAAATTTGCTAATATAATTAAAAAATCTGCAATGATTCCCCCACCCCCGCCAACCCCCCACCCCCTGGCATGTCTTAATCATAATGGGCCCAAGCCATGACACGATACAATACTCTAAAAAAGCTCTAAGATCTACACTAAACACTAATAATAATAATGTAAAAATAACACGGTTTATTAAACAGCAGCCTGAACATGAGTCTGTAGTGAGCAGACGGGTATTAATACAGCAGCATGATTCCACTATGGTGTAAAACCTCAGCCAGAACATAAATGCTGTTTGAAGGTCTTGGCGAGCTCTTCAGCAGCATTTTAAGAACACGTTAAGCTAATTATTGTGTTTTTGCAATACACACTTTCACAACTAGGTCATACTGGTTTGTGATTATGATGGAGGCCGATTGGTTCCTGGTGGTGGATGGGTTAAATGCAGAGAGCCATTTTCACCATTATATGGGAACATACACTGATGATACATAAAATATTATTTTGGGCAGCACGGTGGCCCAACTGGTAGAGCTGCTGCCTCTCAGTGAGAAGGTTACCGGTTCAAATCCTGGTCTGGGGGGGCTTTCTGGGAGGAGTTTGCATGTTCTTTTCATGCATGCGTGGTTTTCTCCGGGTACTCCGGTTTCCTCCCACAGACCAATAACATGCATGTTAGGCTGATTGGTAACTCTAAATTGTCTCTAGGTGTGAGTGAGAGAGTGAATGGTTGTTTGTCTCGTTTGTCTCTGTGTCCTTGTGATGGACTGGAGACCTGTCCAGGTTGTACCCCGCCCCTCGCACAGCAATTGCTGGACATGGGCACCGTGACCCAAAATGGAAGAAGCGGGTAAAGATAATGGATGGAAGTATATTTTGTAAGAATGATCTTGTGGAAGGAAATCATTTTACCACAAATAAATCCATGTGTTTTATTTGACACATTTCTCTTTAAAACTGCAATATCTGCCCATACGTAAGCAAATCCTTCAAGACTGGAAAAAACACACACAAAACCCCCCCAAAAAACATGTAAGCGGCAGACTTGCAGGCAGCCAAGCTCTAAGCGTTCAACAAACAACAAGCCATGAACTAGCTGGCCAAACTGCTACTGGTTGTTCTGTTCTCTGTTTCTGTTTATTAGAGCAGAGAGGTCATAAAGCAGAAACAAAAGACATGCACTGCAGCTTCGGTCAGGGCGGCCAGGTGTCACGCCATTCTGGCTAGAAGCTGATAAAATGGTTGTATAATACACCAACCTGCCAAATCAATCCTCAGGATAGAGTAGCAGGAGGTCATGGCACTAAATTTGAATTCCGGCAAACCGGCTGATAACTTAAATGGTTATTATGATGCAAGACAAAGCATGTGTTTTTTTCATGGAGACAATTGGATTGTGTTTATTTTCACAATCGCCACCTCTGGCAGTGAATATTCTGTGTCATGACTATGTCTTCTTTTTTTTATTTCAGATGCAAAGAAGCAAAAGAAGGAAGGGAAGAAACGTCCGCAAATGAACTAATGAGGATTTTCTGAGCCCGAAAAATGGAAGACGACTTGTGGAAAGACGTCCTCGGCCTTATTTCAATGCAGTTCCTGTTTATATGTCCTGTAGGTTGACAGTAGGGGCCTCTGTAGCTTTGACAAAACCAGTGGAAACGAGCCTTTTTTTAGTGACAATGTCTTTTGTTTATTTTTCCTTTTGTTTTTAGCAGATGATAAAAAAACAACTTGTACTTTGCCTTAGGAGACATAATTTCCAGTGGTAGGGTCGGATAATGAGAAGATCTGTTTACTAGTTTTCTCACTTAATTATGTTATCTCTTGGATTATTTTCTTAAGAACAAATTGCATCAGATTGGTTTACTGTATAAAGAGCCTAGCTCTTATTTAGACACACAAAAACCCCTTTTAGGCCTGTGCCCTGGCTTAATGAAGCAGTTTGTTTAAAAGTAAAGCTTCAAACATCTCCACTTAATTAAATTGAGCAAAGAAAATCATGTATTTGCAATCTTTAAGTGGCCTAATTTACAAGTACAACTTTTTATTTCTTAACAGTGAAACTTGCAGGAAAAAATATTTTAAGCTTGTTCTGTAAAATCTCCTGCTGCTTTGCTGTACCTCAATTTACAACCACATATTGTTAACCTTTCTTCTCTTAACGTATTCTTGTCGTACTCCAGAATAAAAAAAAAAATAACATCTGGTATTCTTCTTGATGTTTTTGCAAAACTTTAAAAAAAAATCAATAAAATTATAAAAAAAATTAATTTGAGCTTCACCTTTTTTAATGTTTTCAGTCAAGCCTATCTAAAAAAAAAAATAAATAAAAATGTCTACCATTCCTTGATCTGTCTTTGTTGAGAAATGGAGTCATAGCCATTTTGATTAATGTCCATTTTATTTATATACAGCCAAATCACAACAGTTGTCTCAAGGCACTGTACAGAAACATTCACATACATAGAAAAGCCATTAGTAAAGTTCGCTATCCAAGGAAGCCAGCAGACTTGGCGTAAGTAATAATTTTCAGCTGTTTGGAGTCGCCATGAGAGAATGTACTAGCGAGACTTAAGGCGAACATGGAAATTTACGAGTTCAGCCTGACCCAAAAAGAATATCTGAATCCGGACCTGGCATTGGAAGGCGGACTATCTCAAATTTCTCCTTGGATATTATGGAAACACAGATGCTCTGTCCCCCCCTCCCCACACCCTCCCTTCCTCAAGGTCATGGACCTGTGACAAGAGTTCAACCGAGCTGGCTGACAAACAAACCCCTCTTATCAGGACAATGGCTGTGGGGTGGGTGTGGACTGTGCTGTGCTACGACCTTCTCTCAATCCAATGCCTCCACTTGCCACCCTCGCCTCAACCTAGGACATGCAAAGGCACCAAGGGCTGCGTCGCTCACCTGGCGGCCTTGCTGGGACACCTACCTCCATTCCATTTTTTTTTTTATACCTGAAACCGTGTCCTGTCTAGGACACGTTGTGAGATTTATTTTTTATATACCTCTCTCCTTATGATTTTATCTTCCCTTTTTCTTTCTTTCTTATCTAAGCAACAGGGGCAGCACATCTTTGAAGCTGCAGCGCCCGGCACACTTCTGTTGATTTTTAGGACGGCTGTATGGAAAGTTAATTTTGTCGTACTTAACTGTGCAAGGATAATAAAAGCATTCTGATTCTGACTCGTTGAATCTTCGTCATCGCAGTCTCCCATCCTGAGCAAGCACAAAGGTAACAGTGGAAAGGAAAAACTCCCTTCTAAAAGAAAGACGCCTCCAGCAGAACCAGGCTCAGGACAAGCGGCCATCTGCTTCGACCTGCTGGATTTGAAAGGACAAGGAGAGGCAAACAAAGACAGAATGGCAGATCCAGATGTAGGTTAAACTTTGAAAGTTTACCTTTTTTAAAAGGTTGTTGAAACCTTGTAGGTTAAACCTTGTGCAGATTATCATGCTGTTTGTAACATCTTGCGAATGACTGTCTGCTACTACCACACCCAAATTTAGAACAATGTCTGTAAAATTGCTCAAAAACACAGACTTGTGTGTGTTTTTTGTTAGCAAATTATCTCATGAACCACTGTACAGATTTTAATAAAACTCTTAAAGTAATTATTGGATAACTGCCTTACTTTTGGAACAAACCACATTCAAGATGGCTGCCACTACCAATAATAAAGGCTACATACAAAAATGGCTATGTTTCAACCTTTATCCACTATCTCCTTTAGCAAAGATCAATACAGAAAAAAAAGTATCCAAAACACATCACATATCTTTTCACTAGAGTTTTATTTGAAGAGGTTATGGTACAATGTAACCACTTGATGCAGTTCATTTTACAGTGTCATAGCTGGCCAATGATTAAAAACACTCAGATTTATTGTTCAGAAACAAATCATCAAGAATGCATTAAAACTAAAATCAGTACCAATATTACTGTACAGGAAGTATCTCTGTGTGGGGGAGGGGAATCAACCAGGGACTGTTCATGGAGGGGACATTCAGATAGTATCTAATTGTGTATGTACATTTTAAATGTACCACATCTGAGTTACATATATTTTATTCTCATATAGATATATACAAATCAAACAACATACAGTTTTTGTTTCCTATTGCAATAAAAGCCACATGCCACAGTGAGTGAATACACAATGAACACCTAAATACGTAGGAAAAATGGCAAATTAACAGTTGAATGTACGTTTAACACTTGCAGCAGGCTACCAATTTTTTAAAATGCTCTCCATTTGTAGATTATACTTTTTTTTAAATCCAGGTTTTGTTTCGTGACCCCTGATGTTCAGATCAGATCGCAACTCAACACACTGACGAGAACAAACACACCCCCAGGACAGTGAAGTTACAAAAAAAACTAAAAAAGTAAAAACGTATATATTGTGTCCGTAGAGTGAAGCAGTGTCTTCCCAGGGTGAGGGTGAAGCCTCATAAATTTACAGGTGAAATCAAAATGAAAGCTCTTGCCTCTGGGCTTTTGGACCACACTGAAACTAGTTTTAGTTTTTGTCGTCCTCCTGGGTCTTTTTCCTTTTTCCCCACCTCTCTGGCTGCAGAAGTCATCCTTCAAATCCCCTGGACTTCTGCTCCAGTGTTGGCTAGATAAAAAAAAAGTTAGGAGCTAGTCTCATTTAGCAAGGCAAGAATCCATTTCTTAGCAAATCATAAAGTCCAGAAACACACACACATAGTTATACTTTTCTCTTTTTTATGGTGATATTCTCTTCAAAAAACACATTCATAATCCATAATAGTTATAGATATATAATTTTTAGAAACTCCAAAAAGAACTTTGGCTGTACACTGATCATATTATACTTTGCAATACTACATTTAGGTTGTGTACAATAATTGACACCGATTTACAAAATGTGATAGAAAATGTACAATATCATGTATCTACATGTATTTCAGTGGCACAGATAGCTGTGTCTGAGTGAGTCTTTGGAAGCTTTTCACTATTAAAAGACTGTTTCAAAGAGGAAGGCTTGATGCCAGAAAAATACGCAATTACTATGCGTACATTTGCAAATGTGCTCTATGCTTAGAGTTCCCTTTAAGGAAGAAAAAAAAAAGAGAACACATTACAAGCAAAGTGCATTGCACGCCCACCCATAGACATTACAATTATTGACAGCACTGATGACAAACAAGGTTTGAAAAGCACTTTTTTTTTTTCTCCATCTGACAAATGTGAATACACACACACACGCACATTGAATGAAAAATGACCCAAAATGGCCCCAGTGAGCCATCATGACATTAACTGAAACTTCTCACAGCTGTGACAGTTTACACGATACACTATTTTAAAAGCACTGGGATGATTATTGTTGAGAGTTCAGTCTGAACTTTTCATTTCCACCGCAATCTGGCAGTCTTAAAAGTTTAAGTGTTGGAGCTCAGCACTGTAAAACAACTAAACAAAACAAAAGACCTATTTTGGAAGACCGGATAGGCTCATGCGCACCCCATTTAAGTAATCGTCACATTCTAGCACAGCCAATCTGAATATACAAGAATTTTAGGATAAAGGAGCAATTTGTTTCTTTCACTCCACTATAAGGCACTTTGAATTGCTCTGTACAATCCAGCGATATAGATCCACTGCTTAAAAATGTTCTCCCAACGTGAAGAAAGTGCTGCTTAGGTTTCAGGTAAAATTATCCTCAGCAACTCGGGGATAAACAAACCAGAGAAAACTTCAACTTAGTCATCTCTGATAAACATATCCTATGTTCTCCATAAAAGGAGAAGTGTAGCCCTTTGACACAAGCCGTACAAACAGGAGCCCAGCTAGCTCTGACGGCACATTATGATCTGATGATTACCACGGTGACTATGTTTACTTTAGTTCCATTAGAGACGGATGAGCATCATGGGAGTTTTTTGAAGGGAGTCATATAAAATGTTGTGGCCGTATAACCACGAAGCGGAAAATGATGGTTTCTGTTTGCACAAAAATGAGACGCAATAAAACGAGTGGAAGGTATGGTAAACAGTGCTGCACCGTAGTGTGTATACGCCAGGCAGCAGGTTTTGTCTGGGACGCTGAAATTCTTGGCTGACCCGCCCAAAGCGGCAATAGCTTCTCCAAACATGGTCCATTTTCTGTGTGATCCTCTGGCTTTAGTCTTGTCTGTAACAGACGCCATTCGTTAACCAGTGTCTCATCCTGCTCAGCCTTTCCTAGCAATCATATCTACAAAGGCATGCTCATCTATTTTCATATGCACAAAGCATACCTTGGCTTTCTCCCAGTTTAGCTGTGGTCTTTCACTGCCACCAATAACCCTGTCTTGTTCTGTCAGGAGTCTACATTCTGCCAAATCATTTCCAGACAATCCCTGATACAGACGGCTTCTTTGTTCTTACTCTTGCGGCTAAAATGACTTATAAGAACTTTTGATTCCTGTATTAGATGCCTCCTATTTTTTTAGCTGCACCTCGCCCTTTTTTCCACCCTTCCAGGAGGTGATAAACTGCCATCACCTTCCATCAGACACCCAGGCAGCTGCTCATACTGACCCTTGGACCACCGCTTGAGCTGCGATCCACTCACTCTCCTGCTGGTATCCATCAAACAACAGCTTGGCAAAGATTAATCAGATGTTTTGGAAAGCTTTTTGCTCTCTTCTGACATGCGTGACAAATGTCAGACAGACACGGCTCCACTCTTCAATGTGATGGATGTCTAAATGTTGAACTCAAATAGATACCTAACCTCGGGCTGAAAGTTTGTGGTTTTATTTTAAACCCCTTTTTTTAAAAGGGACATATTGCAATTACACTCCACGGTGCCATAAAAAAAACATAACTAAAATCAACATTCTGTGCATTCTAATAAGCCGGACTACAGTAATATTTGACTAAAATATTGACCTTTTCACTAAAGGGAGTGTCTCATGTGGATGCAACTAAAAATGTTTTCAGCATCTCAGTCAATCTATTATTTATATTTCTCTAAAGGTCTATCCATCCATTATCTTTACCCGCTTCTTCCTTTTCAAGTCGTGGGGGTCACTGGTGCCCATATCCAGAATCAAGATTTACATTTAGTCCTGTGCCAAGTTTAGCTATATTTAGCTTTTTATGTCTATTTTTAATTAAAAAAATTTTTTTTTAATTTTCTAGCAGCGTATATGAATATTTGGGAATTGTTTTTAGCAGATGAAGGTAAACAATAAAACTTTTAACAAGAATCTAGAAAGTGAAACTTTATGTGATTTCGTAGGTGTGAGTGAGAGAGTTAATGGTTGTTTGTCTCTGTGTCTCTGTGATGGACTGGAGACCTGTCCAGGATTTTCCCCGCCTCTCGCACAGTCATGGCTGGATATGGGTACCAGTGACCCCCACAACCTAAAAAGAAGCGGGTAAAGATAATGGATGGAATTTAGCTATCAAAGATTTCTGAGTGATCAGCCACAGCAAGCCATTACATCCTTACAGTGCTTATACTGAAAGTGATATTTTTTGTTTGTGTGCACACTTTTTGGTTTAATACTTGCTTGTTTCCTTCACAAACCAGGTCCTTGTTTGGTATTCACCACACCTGCTCTATCAGTTAATGACTCCCCCTACTTATATCATTCCAGAATTAAACTGAGCATCTTCAGATCTTGTTGTATTCTCCATATGGTTGTGTTTAACTTGCAGGATGTGGTAATATCAGATGCAGCTGCGGTTCCTGTTCACTTGCATTTGGGTCCTTTATCATTCAACAAGACAACAATGGTCCACTCTCTATACAACCGCAACCCCTTAGACCTTGCAATCACATGTAATAGCAGTTTCTCAGTTTAAAATGTTAAATGCACCTATTGTTTCCCTTTTTTTTTTTTTTCTAGAAAAGGGGGCCAAGATGGTGGAGAGGTAGGACAGCTGAACTGGGACCAGAAAGTCCTAGTTCGACTCCCCGCCATTCCCACATGTTGTGGTGTCTCTGACTGAGTAAGACACCTAATCCCAATTGCTCCCTGGGTGCTTGCGTAGCTGCCCACTGGGTGTATCTCATGTGTGATTTGGTTAAATGTAGACAACTAATGTCATCGTTATATGGAACATACAATGATAACACATAGCACTTATACTTTTACTTATACTTCTATGGGAGTGTCGAGTTAGCAGCTCACAGGCAACAACTTTAACTTTGCAACTTTGCAACAAGTAACTTTGCAACTCTTGAGTTACAAACGTCAGTCTAATACATGACCGGTGCAGTGTGTCTATAATGGTGATACAAATTTGAGTTCTGTAACAAGTGTTAAAGTTACTTTAGTGGAAAAAAGGTAAAACCTCACAAATGAGGGTGAATCCACATTTATACTGCTTTACCCCATCTACCATCTTGAAAACATCTATTCACCATTTTCCATGGTTTTATGGGGTCAACAACTTGAAAAGTGCACTCTTTTTATACAGGCTGTGTAAACGGAAGGTGAAAGTTTTCAGCTCAGCACGCTCCAGTTGTGGCCCACTGCCCTTTGCTGCATACCAACACTTGCTATCTGTGCATTTCCCCTTTCTCTTCCTCTTCTAAAGTAAAGGCCAGACAACAATAATTCCAGGCCAGGACTACATTTCCTTTTAGAACCTGTAATGTCAGGGGGTACATATGGTTTATGAATACAAAAACACAAATATTTACTCCACACTAGCTCTGTACATCGGTGACATTTAGCAGAAAGGCGATATTTGGAGCATGGGGGGGGGGGGGGTTCATGAATAACAGAGCAAGCTGCATGGGTGTACATGTGATATTTATGTCATAGTCATGACCTTAAAAGAAACCAAGACTTTACCAAGACAAGAAATGAGCAAAGTAATACAGTAAGTGGGGCACATGCGTGTGTACATGCAAGCACAAGCTGAGCGTGTAATGGGCAGTCTTTAATCTCAAATGTAGGTGTTCCACATCTGCCTGTAATCTGATCAGCCTCATGGTGAGTTTTCATTATAGGATGTGTCCCAGATCTCTCTTTAAAGCTGACAGCCTTAAGGAGCTATTCAGTGCAGGCGTAAATCTTTGCAAAGCCCCCTACCAGCCGCCGGGGCAACCTCCTGATGGCAAATGCTGCTGCATATTCATCACTGCAACTAGTAAGCCACATTAATGTAACTGAGAATAGACTAATAGGCTGAAGTGATGAATTATGACCATGAAAACTCAGAACATGCCTCAATATTTTTTTATACCACTGAAATAAACACAATTATGTATTACTTAATTTATCTTAAAATTTAAAATCAATTTGAGATGAGTTACAGAAACAAACACTGAAGTAGCCCTTTATTAAATCACAAGGATGTGATCTGAAGTAAACTCCACTCTTGGAGTAAACAAACACACATTCACGCACATTCCTAAATCTTCGTAAATTTAATCCTAACAATATAAATGATCATTCCACTAATAAAACGACAAACAAAACAAAATGGTGTCTATACTTGTACACACAAACGCCACAAAATGCCTTCCCACAGACATTAACAGAGAACAGCTCTGAGCTCCAACCTCCTGTTTCACTCACTGAGTAGGTGTCATCTCTGCAGTGGTGGACAACTTTGACAGCAAACATAACTTAATGGCTGCCATAAAAATCAACACCTGACATCCTGTCAGCAGTAAAAGCTAAAGTGACGAGGTTTATCACAGATGGTAAATGAACGAGTGCGACTGAACTCTCTCTCTCGTGCCTTTTTTGTTGTTGTTTCCAGATGTTTAGGTTGTATTAAGTAAGGTTTCTTGGAAAAATTGCTGTAATTTTTGAGAACACAAGAAAGTTACTTTTCTGTACAGGATAAATGGCACACAGCATGTTGATCAGGAAAAAAAAAAAAGCCAAGCTAAATTAGTTTGAGTGGTTTCTTCTCATATACCGTGAATATTAATGTTTGCAAATGTCAAGTGACTCTTTCCACTTTTGGAATTTAGTCTTTGATAGAACAAGGTTCTGTTTACACTGGTCCAAATCTACTTCTTTTATCCTCCTCTTTCAAAAAAATATTTGATTAGTCATACAAAAAAGTGTTTTCCAATCACACTTTGAGTTGGATACAATGATTCACAACATCAGTGTTTTCTATATGAGAGAGGTGCAGGTTGTGCTCTTATTAAAGACGTTCAATCTTAAGACCGCCAAGTTATCCTTAATATTTTAGGAAGCTTTGCGGTATGTTTACAATGTGGATTTCTTCATGCCCATTTTTCAGACTTTTTAATTTATTGATCCATTAAAGCTTTTTTGTATGTGGAAAATATGACAAGCGCAAGTCCAAATGGTTAAATTTATCGCAACCTTATTTTCACCAGAGCTCTTTGTTAGCTAGGACAGTTACTAGTAAATGTAGATATGTTCGAGACTTTCTACACAACACCCCAATTTATTCTGCACGTCGTTGGTTGGCAGCGTTATGACAATGATTACACATAGAGAAGGCAAGCAGAGGGGTGCAAGTAGGTGCACTTCCAAACACAGAGCTAGCACATACTCACGTGTGCACACAAATTGATTATACACCATTATGTACAGTTATCTACAAGTATCTTAACTGAACTTCAAACTCGTATGGTTTGTAATTTCAGCCAGCCCTATTTTCCCATTTAGAAAATTTCTTGCTGTCCCTTTAGCGTAGGTCTTCTTTTTAATCTGCATTTTATCAGCTTATTATCATTCCTTCTTTGCTTTACTGTCTCAAAAACCCCTTTTCCCCCTCTACAACCTTTTTTCATCCACGCTGCATCTGTGCAATACACACCAAAGCAGCTCGCCTCAGTGAATTAAGTGTAAAGTGCTACAATTGGTTAATGAGAGAAATTTGTAAAATCATAGAAATTGATTTAAAAATGTACTCTATCATTCTTCTCAATCTCTTTCACAAAAGCAAACACTTGCACATGAATAGCAAACACAGATCTCAAGCGTGTGCACACACACATACAGGCAACCCATATGTCAGTGCCTCCTCCACAGGGGCTTGTATTTATCTGGCTGACCTAATATTTTTATACTGGCAGAGAAGAAGATGTTTGAAAGTCTTTTTAAACGTGACATTGCACAAGGCATAGCAGGCCGGATTGATGGTGCTGTTAATATAGCACAGCCAGTAACCAATAGTCCATACTGTGTTGGGAATGCAGCTGGAGCAAAAGGTATTAATAAGTACCATCACATTATATGGAGTCCAGGTGGCCACAAAAGCTACCAGGATGGCCATTATGGTGCGTGTAACTTTTTTCTCCCGTGATGGTGCACCTTTCTTCTTCTTGTTCGGAGGCTGTTTAGTCATCTTCACGATCTTTCTAGCCACATGGTTCTGACGCTCTGTGCTTGGGACTATCTCAACGGTAGCATTCGATGGTGTGTAATAGTCCCCTTTAGGTGACTTAGTTTTGATCTTGATGCAGGTCAGTTTAGAGCTCCCTGCCTTGGCTCGTTGACGTGGGAGTTGCTGACTTGTCTCAGCGTTGGAGTTGGCTGTGGATGGTGCTGGTTCTTCATCTTTTGGATTGGAAGCAGCCACACTCCCTGATGAGTCATTGGAGCTTTCCTTTTCCTCAGCAGGGGCACAGTTCTCCCTTGGCACACTGTCACCCTCGTTTTCTATCTCAGCAGTGGAGGATGAAGGTCCCTTGCCATTCTGCAGTTTCCCATCATGCTGATTGGCCCCATTATCCACAGTCTGGTTCTGAGAATGCCCCATGCCCTCCCCTGGTACATTGTTATTGTTGGGTTTTGGAGTGCTATCTCTCCTCTGGCCAGGTGACAGAGGTTCTGGATTGGTTCCTGATGGCTTGCGGTTGTCCTTCTTCACACGACTTTTGCTCGCTCTTGAGATTTGCCAGTACAGCTGAATCATGATAATGACAGGCAGGTAAAAGGCGGCGATAGCTGTTCCAAAAGTGACAGCAGCATTGGAAAAAAACTGAATGTAGCACTCCCTCTCAGGTACTGTCCGCCCACCAACAATAAACTGCCAAAAGAGAATAGCAGGAGCCCAGAGAATAAAAGAGAGAACCCAGGCAGCAGCAATCATCATTCCCGCCATTTTGGTGGTCCTCTTTACAGGGTAGCTGAGGGGCTTGGTGACACAGAAGTATCTGTCAAAACTTATAATGAGAAGATTCATGACAGATGCATTGCTGACGACATAGTCCAAGGCTAACCACAAGTCGCACACCACTGGTCCGAGGGGCCAGTAGCCTATTACTATATAAACTGTGTACAAGTTCATGGAGCAGAGTCCAATAATTAGGTCGGCACATGCAAGACTAAACAAAAAATAGTTGTTGACAGTCTGTAGGTTCCTGTTCACTTTGATGGAGAGCATGACCAGGATATTGCCAATAATTGTGACCAAACTGAGGGAACCAGCCACTAGCACGATGAAAACTACCTCCACGGTCTTGTAGGCGCTATCGTTCTCTTCCACAGTTTCTGTCCCGTTGCCTTCTGAGGCATTCCAATATGTGAAATTGAATACATCCATGGCATTTGGTCTTTTGTTGCCACCTCCTACTCAGATGGAACCTACAAAAGAACAAAAGAGAAATTGATTTGTAAGAAAGCACAGAAAGAGGCAATGACAGCCTAAGTAATTAATTAAATCAAAGAAGTTTGAAGAGTAGATTCACAATAGGGTTGTGGGTAAAAACACAAGAATGTCTAATTTTCTAAACTGGGAACATTTGATCAGTTTCAGACACATTCTGAAAAAAAAAAGTTCAGTATGCTACTAAAGCTGCTATAACATCAGTTAATGTGTAATGGTGAAAGAGATTATACATTAAAAAAAAATTGTATCAAACCATTATCAGCATTGTGGCCTTTTGTGTTTGGATTCAGCTTTTAGTCATTTTACCTCAAATAATAACAAGAATGTGTCCGGTACGCTAATTAACTTTGTAATTAAGAGACTGAGCTTTCTGGCAGCTATTTTTTATAATCAGTGGGTAAACATCATCTCGCTATTAGACACCTGTTCATTATGGAGAGACAAAAATACTAAAAGGAAAACTAAAAGGACATAATCTGAATGCATGACAGTGTGCCTAAAAATAGGTAAAACATCAGGTCAAATGGTAATGTTACAGTAATGGTCTCAATGAAATACAAAGCACAGTTATTTAATGAAAAACAAAAACTGTTGATTTGTATTTAAAAATGCATGTTCAAACACGATTTACCACACTTGCTGTACAAGGACTACACATTAACATGCCATGGCATTCAAATTTATTTGGTAGAAAGGTATAGCATTTATACAAAAAATGAGAGTAAAACAAAAAAAAAAAAGATTTTCTTTTTTTTTTTAATCATCAGAGTTGTTCCTTTTGAAATGGACTCATATATATATATATATAGTGATATATAAAATATTGTTAGAACAAGTCAGGGCCCAAAATTAATCCTTGTGGAACTCCACATAAATAATTGGTTGCTGTGGAATGTGTTCGCTGTTCGGTCTAACTTTTAAAATTAGGTCTAGAATTTTAGAGGATATTTATTTATTTTAGTGTTCAGAGCAGTACATTCTTCTAAACTTCTTTCCCAACCATCATTAACCACATTAATTTGACTCTAATATGGCTAATAATTAACTTTTAGCTTAAATTGCTGGCTGTTTTTTTAAATTTTTTTTAAATTATTTTATTTCAAACCCTTTTTTGTTTTAGTCCATAAATGCTTTAAGATTAGCATTATTTTTTCTAATTATGCATGCATTCTTGAAATACGTAATTACTGTATACACCATACACAAATCATATTATAGGAGTTGAATGAAAAACATTAAAATGAAATATTGACACAACTAGGGCTAGCCTTTATTCTTCAAAGGTCCATTTCTCACTTGTACTTAAAAATTCCCTTTTTGATCCTCGAGTGACTTGCTAGTTCACTTGTAACTTTAAACATTCACCTGTGCTGTAGAGCTTGCTTTGATTTACGAAGAACTGCTCAGTCGTGCTTGTCACAAAGTTATTTGATATCTGGAGTAATGTGCCTTGTCTGCTCTGTCTTGAGCATGGTCAAAACTCTTGGAGCCATTTTGAAAACTGTTGACTCACAGTTTGCCATAATTATAATCATCTAGCCGAAGCTTTCTTTCATACCTTCTTTTTTAGCTCATATGTATTATTGCATGTCTCCATGAAAAATGGGCAATATTATAAGTGTATGTAGTGTGTTTTACTTTCTAACACATGTCTGGATGGAGTCAGATTTTCCCAGACAGATGTGACCCTGTTTTATGACATGACCACAAATACAACTTTGGGAATAATTTTGTTTTAAAACTTTAAAGAAATGTGAATAACTTTATTACTGCCATGCTTTTAACTGTGTTTAAACAAATTATTCTTGTAAAACAATGCTCTAATGTTGCTGTCAGGATTGCATTCAGAAAGTGCAGAAATTTTAATCTAGTTATTTTTTGTGATGAATTATTAAAAATGGTTTTCCTTCTGGATATAAACAGCACTTCTTTTTAAATACTGTTCACAAAAGCACAACAATCTTTGCATATGAGTGAATTTTAAAACTGCGCACATTGCGAAAAAAGAAAATTTAAGTGAACTTAAATGAAGTAGGATTCCATTTTTGGAACTTTCTTGACTTATACTGCACTTTGTTTTAAGTCCTGAACAAACTTGAACATGTTGGTTTATATGCATCTTACTGGAAAAAGAGCAAAAATGATCTATGTTAAAAATCTATACATATAAAAAAATGATCATGTTCTAGAATTGCACTGCTCAGGGTGGCTGCATGTTGGAGCAGCTCTGTTACATTCATCCTGAGTTATTGCTTTTGGAAACTTTAATTCCTCATTTTTCTGGATGCTTTTTTCAGATATTTCCTCTGGTATCAGATGCTGTGCAGCTGGAAGGATTTTTACTGAAATCTTTTTTACTTTTGGGAATTTGTTATGATGTGTAACCATGGCAACAAGGTGTTTGTTTTTTTTAAATCAATCAGGAGCAGCTGATTAACATCTCAAAAGCTCAAATACCACAACTACAGCCCCAAATCCCAAATGAGTTGAAAAGGAGGCGTCATGTACGAATTCCCATCAACCTGGCACTGGTGCTCAAGCACCTGACTGCCGAGATCCTGGAGATGGTGGGAAACTCTGCTCGTGACAACGGGAGGACTGGGATCATCCCTTCAGCTGTCTGTCCGTGGCGACAAGGGGCTCTGCAGACTGCTGGGAGGAGCGACCATCGCACAGGGAGGAATTCTGCCCGTTATTCGGTCAGTCCTGCTGCCCAGGAGGACCGAGATGCCCACCAGATCTGACAGCAAGCTGGATCTGGGTGGTCAGATCAGTATCTGTGGCGCGATTCTTTGGATTCGCTGCAGGAGATCTTTCCTGCCCACAGCTATCGGCATCTATAACAACTCTTGAATGAGGATGATGAGCTACAACACTTACTTTCCCTTTGGGATGAATAAAGTATTTTTGAATTTGAATTTGAAAACTGAAGATTATCTGGTAGTGATACATGTCCAAAGCTAAATTTTAAGCTGTAGAAAGTGTTAATTTTTTATACTTTTAAATTACATAAACCTAATCAAATTTTGCGCCAAAGTCTAAGCAAATGCTTACTTACTAAAACAAGTCATATTTGTTTCAAAACACCAAAAAATAAGGACATGAACAACTTTTTGGGTGTATTTTTCTAATATTCTTGTTCCTTTTGACAAGAAAAGCGTTAAATACACTACAACTTGAAAATCAACGTGTGCCCCAAAACAAAACCACTCTACTGTTGCCATTGCTTATATCTTACATTATATTTGGGTGCCAAAATCATTATCGGACCTATTTCTGCAAACTCCTTTTTTTTCTTTTGTTACATAATTTTCATTAGAAATGTTTTACGTTTCCGACTATTAAAGTTTGACTGTAAAGTTTGTTGATTAATGATTATTCAATAGCCAAAGTTAGTGAAGTGTTTTGAGTGTCATGCAGCTTTAAAACTGTCTGCTCCAAGGCTTTGTCATTTTGACATAAGGTCTTTAAGCATTGAGCCTATAGCTGCTGAGTAACTAGTGAACATTCACTTATCTGCTGTGCCAGAAATCCCTAATCATTGCATTAGGCATGGAGCTAAGCTGGCCTAATCCCCCATAAAACGTAAAAGTCCACCGATTTACATTCAAAAACACAAACAATACAAATGGGACACTCTTGTGGCTCGCTTGAGCCATGTGGATTAGAGAAATAAAATGACTAAATAGACAGCCATGGTTGAGTAGAAGTTGTTTCTCCCTTTGCCGCTTTTCGCCACCTCCAACTGTTCTGTCTTGTCCCACACCTGAAATCTGTGTCACAACTCGGCGAAAGCTGTCACTTTCAACCAAAGTGCTCAGATTCTTTTAAAGCTCCAAGTGGATGTCCAAAAGGTCTACAGAGAACACTAACTTGGTGTTTGCGCTTACTTTGTCAAACTAATGAACATTTTGCAGAAAAAAAACTCCTGCTTTCATTTAAAGCTATCTTTGTTTTACATGGCAAGTTGTAATTTTTCATTTTGTTTATGATTCTACAACTATCAAATTTGCAGTACTTGGCAGTTAAAAAAAAAAAAGTGACTTAGTTTAGTTTTGACTGGTTAAAAAAAATTAAACTGGGACTGATGCCTGCTGAGCTGGAGTGCAATTGGCATCACCTGGGGAGAACAGCGGTGGCACTCTTAGCAAATCTATCAATCGCCGAGCTTTGCAAGTTTCAGCACAACTGCAGTCGGTGCCTTTTGCATCTGACAGAGAGCAGCAGTGCTACTGCCGGCATTATTCCTAGATAGAGTAATATTTTTATTTATAGTGTAAAACGTTACGATTTTCAATAGATTCTCACATTTCAATTGGGTTAAACATTTGACTTAAGCAATGTTTAAAAGCTCTGCTGCAAAACTCAAAGAATTTAATTTAAACCAAAGGATGCAGTAATCCTAATTATGCCAATTTTGTTTTGTGTTTAAAAAAAAAAAAAAAGTGAGAAGTCCATAGCTGTCAGGAGAGAACGTGAATAACTGAGCTTGAATATTGTTCTGTGCTCGGCTTTGGGCATTTCTGGAATTGGTTCAGTAGAGCTGAAAATTGCTCGTGTCCACCGGGAAACGGAGAAGGCCAACTTCACCATTTTTTTTTTTTTTTTTCACAACTTCTGTCCCCAGTCCGTCTATTGTAGTGGACTCCAAGCTGGCCACATGACCACACGGTAAATTAAAATAGCAGCAGGAACAAACATTTGTGCTTCTAAACAAATGGCAGTAAGTGATTTGCTTCATATCGAAAGTTAAAAAACACAAACGCAGGATATGATGATATCCCACTGGGCTGGAATGACTGAAAACTTGTTGGTGACTCAGAACAAGAAGTTTTTAGTTGCAGACTTAATGACTTGGCTCGCTGGTCGTGTGGCTGCGTTTTGTACAGCACATTTTTGAAAACCGCAACCAAGTTTTGATTGCACGGCTTGAAAAACTATATTGACCGTGCACATTATATTGTTATCCACCTCT